CCTGTGATTTTTTTCCTCAGACTCTTTGTGTTTTCCCTCACATTCTGGCTTCAGCATTGCTTTCTCCCCAGCCATCCCCCAGTCAGTCAAATATATTTCAAACATTGCAGAGCTTTAGCACAGAATAAGCACGTTCCAGTTTAGTTCAGAAATGAACACCTGCTGTAAGTGGTCAGCTTGCTCACCTTCTGCCTATTTGAACTAAATATTCTTGTTTTTATATTTCCCTGAAAATATCTAAAGTGTTCTGATTAAGAACTCAAGGAATGACTCAGTGCTGAAATTTAGCTGTTAGAGTTACTGAAGGGGAAAAACACTTGTATTTAGTCTGACCTCCCGTAATGAGATAACACCTGTGATCCTTCATGGCTTACAGTGGCCCAACTTCGGAAGACCCTGACATACTTCAAACATTGTTTATGGCTTACACATTATTTCTGCTCATTTGAAACTATCTTTCATAGTGGTTTACCAGTAATCTTGAGTGTGATGGTACTTGAACTGTATTGGGGAAATTGGCAGTGGGAAATGGACAAGAGCCTCCCCAGCTACTCCACAGCCACTGGAATCTCCACTATGGGATTTGGAAGGGATGAATATAAACAGATGTGGTGTGGTAGCACACAGGGAGATCTCTGGGACCTGGTCTCTGTGCCATGTAGGGATTTCTCACTCCCTTCACAACCCCCTTAAAACCTGCTCATTCCTTTCCCCCCTCCCACCTCAAAGGAAATGCACTAATTCTGTTGCAAGAGGGCCTCTACACCCATAGAAAGGGGGGAAAGATTTGTAGCTACTTTGGTTATTGTTTATTTGTATCTATTTTCATAAGAAAAAAGAATGTTTAAAATATTGACTGTTGGAGGCTAAATAAAAACAAGTAACTTTTAGAAAATGCATTAAATTCTGTCTTTCAGAGACAGCAGTGTGAAAAAATTCCTGCATTAATAAGTCTGCTGGTACAATCATCTCCCAACTTGGCAGAGTTCAGAATGTTCTTTTTGCAACCCTTATTGAACATTTTGATCTCTACTTGTTTTTGCAAGAATAACTGGCTCACTTCATTCTCTGCTACTTATACACTTACCGTGATTTAGGGATCTCAGAGCCTTTCACAAATATTATTGAATTTAGTCTCACAATATCCTTATGAGTTAGGGAAATATTATTATCTCAATATTACTAATGGGGGAATTGAGGCACAAACAGATTAAATGTCTTGCCCAAAATCAGCCTGTGACAGAGCCTGGATTTCCTGACTCCAAACCTTATCCTTTAGTAACACAAGAACAGCCTTTCTCCTGTTATCCATTTTCTGTAAACTTTGTGTAGTAAGTGTAACTTTCATTTCAGTAAATAATGCCTGTGACTCATATGAGCTGATTTCTAACTTGATTTCTGTAGTATATAGTCATTAGGTATGGACATTGAGAGTGAAATCCTATCCCATTTTAGTCAATGGGGGTGCTATTCACAAAGATACTTAGGTGCCTAAGTCCCATTTTTAGGCAACACTGCAGTCCACAAAACTGCTCAGATGCCACCTAATCCTGTAGGTGCCTTAACTCATTTGGTGCCCAAGTTTTTGCGGTAAAAGTTCCCTAGGCACTTATGTGAATGCCTCTGAGAATGCACACTGGTGCCTCACTCTAGATGTCTGGACACGTATCTCCTGCCTAAACCCCAGAGCAATTCACAAACCAGGGAAGATAGGCATTCAGCCAGTAGTATGCAGGGGCCCAGTCAAGTTGGTGTGCTCAGAGAGACCACATTTTACCCCGCTGGTGAGGTCATACAAAATAGACAGGAGTGGGGAGGGAAGGAGAACCTCCTTTATCACATTTGACCTAGAGTACAGATTACTCACTCAGAATGTGGAAACCTTCCAATTCAAGTTATCCTCCCCTCCACCTGATGAGAAGTGATTTGATGAGGGATCTTCACCTCACAGGTGAGTGCTGTAGCCATTAGGCAATGGAATAGTCTGATGTGGGTCTCCCTCAATCTCTCCTATTAAAGTTGTTCCACTTTAATTAAACAATTAAATATCAATTTGGCCAAAGAAAGTGTTAGAATGACTCTATAGCCTCGTGGTTAGGGCACTCATCTGAGAGGTGGCTGCTCCCTGTTCAAGTACTTTCTCCCCACAGGAGAAGGTGGGACTTGAACAGAGGGTTGCCCACATCCTGGGTTAGTACCCTACCAACTAGGCTAAAGTTCACCCTCCTTTTTCCCTGCCTGTTTTGTTTCAGCCCCACAAATGACTGGAATGCCTGTCATCCCCTGGTTCATGGATCAAAAACAGAAATAGGCACCTCCCTGCAGCCCAGACTTAGCACACATCCCTCTGGTCAGCATCTTCCATTGGCTAGTTTTGGCAGACCCTGCCTAGTATGCTGGCTTTGTGGATTGCATTCTAATGTGCCTATCTCTCCCCATTCATGGTATAGGAGTCTAAACACCTTACTCAGGCTTTGTGGATTGCAGTATTGTTTCTGTGATTTTTCTAGATGCCTAAAAGGTAGGTGCTGCAATGCTCAGGGTTGCAATGCCTACATCCCTTTGTGGATCCTACCCTGGGAGTTTTGCTGCTGACTTTTTACGTGGGTCAGAATCCCATCCAGAATGTAGAAGGGTCCTAAATACGATGTCCAAATTTCACATTTGGATGCTCATAGTAGCACTTAGCTGTATATGTTTATAATGTACATTCCTAAGTACCCTCATCCAAATGAGGGATGTGGCTGTCTCATGGAGGAGCCCCAATTGAAAATTGGACTTCTGATGTGTATTTCTTATGTGAGTTTGGTATAACAGCGTCTCTGATGTTAACAGCATTTAATTGACTGACCCATAACATTTTAACACCATGTTTCTCAAACTTTATCAGTGTTGCATACATTTTAATACAGAAATTATCTTCTGGAGCATCTTCTGTCTCCCTCACAATATAATATCTCTGTGGCAACTACAACAACTACAGACATGGAAAGTAATATTAGGAAATAATTTAATGTATAATGCCTTTCAACAAAATGTAGCCTCTGGAAATAATGAGGAGGAGCCAGCACCATGTGACCAGCCAACTTTCTGGGAACCACCAATAAGTGCTTCACAGGACTGCTTGTGATCTATGGACCACAATTTGAGTAGCTCTGCCTTAACTTATATAGTATTTCATTTTCCATATACGTCTTTTATTATCCCTTTTCAAGGATAGTTTGTTATCTTCATGTCCTAGGTATGTCTCAGAACACTTTGTGCAGGTTACTATGATGTGTCAGGAACGGCAGCAGCTGGTCATTAGGTTTTAGGCCATACAAAAGCTGAGCTGGAAAAAAGTTCTTAGGTACCAAGAAATTTCCATACTGGTTCAGACCCATTGTCCATCTAATCCATAGTTCTGTCTCTGACAGTGGCTAGTACTGGCTGCTTCGGAGGAAGATGCAAAAAACACAAAAGTGGACAGTTATGGAATAACCTGCCCATTAAGAGAATTTCTTCCTCACCTCTGTTTGGTGAATTTGTCCTTGTCATAACATATTCCTCTTTTTGTTGAATAATTCTGTTTTTTATTGTAGTTTCAATCAATCTACCTGAATTTTGGAGGAAGAATCAGGACAGTTTCCATCTTTACCAATGCACTCAGTCCAACTTCCTATATGGTTAGCCCTATTCCTTTATTCTCACAACATTAATTCTGCTCTTGGGCACATATTGGATTAAATAGTGGCATAAACTTCACTTACAAATATTGTTTGACATACTTTGTGATCTGATAGAAATAAACTACATGTAGAGTGAAATCCTGGCTCCACTGAAGTCCATGGCAAAATTCCACTTGCCTTTAGTGGGGCCAGGAGTTCAATCCTTCATGTTTTCTTCTATCTTCAGATTAACCAGGTAATTTCTGCCTCTGAGATTTGCTCAAAATAAAATCCTATTAAATAAATTAAAGCACACATTATTGGAGTTAATATAATCTGGATTTATTTCCAAAAGAGTGAGATATTTGGATTATGAAGAAGAAGAACAATCAGACAGATTGACACAATCAGGACCTCTGAGAAGTATATATGTAATTAGGGAACTTTACATCAAAGTACAGGATAAACATGAGAACTTCTTCAGTCTAACATTTCTTTCTAAAGGCAGATACTTGGTAACCTAAGACTGTAATATGGGAGGCACATTCTCATTTCCTGGAACCAGCTATCAAAGACGCTTTTTATGCAGCAACTAGAAGAACAAATTGGCTAAAGATCTTGTTGAAACAGGGAGGAAGACCACATGGATTTAAGGCTAGCTTTCTTTCCAACACATAGATGCTGCCATCTCCAACTCCACCCCTGTACAAACAACATCATAGTTACAGCTGATACCTGCATATCCTCAGCCTTATATAGCCATAGGAGGCCATGAACCCTGACTTTTCTTGACATTTGTTCTGGATAAATAGGAGTACATTGCATTTACCTTTGAGGACTTTTACTCTATGGAGTTTTTCATCCAAGTACTCCCCTTCCACTTGATTTTGCTTACTCTAGTAGGAGGAGAATATCACACAAAATATATTGCATAATTTGAAAAACTGAGGACCTAGTTCTCATTTATACTAAGGCTCCTTTACGCATTCTGGCAATGGAAATGTTTACCGGAGCAGTGTAAAGGTGCCATTCGTAAATGAGAACAAAGCACAGAAAATTTTAGAGACAAGAAAGGACCTTCTAGCTCAATATACATATAAAGGACTTCTGGCCTTTTCAAAATGTGCCCTTACTTCCTCTACCTTCGTGCATTTTTATCATACCCTACTATCCTCTCCTTTACTGGAAACAAATATAAGTGTCTCATGGACTCATTTGTACTCTGCTTCAGTTACCTTTGCTGGTAAATTATTCCTTAAGGTTGTTTACCTATGCATAAAACAGCTGTACCTTAGTTTCCCATTTAATTCATTTTCTCAGTCATGTTTCTTAGTTTTAGAAGAACCAATGTTTAAAAAAAAAAGTTTCTCTTGACTTTGCCAGTCCCTGGAAACTTTTATTCTGTCACGTCAAGGCCATCTTTTTATCAGCAAGGATAAACCCAAATCCTTACTCTTGAATCATGAATTAGACTGTTCAGCATTGCCCTTCTCTACATATCCAAAGACAATAATATATTTCCAGTGGTATTGTAACTGCATGGAGTATCCCAATGGCATCTTGCAAGTGCCTCACAAAGTAAATGCCCAATCCAAAACCCATTGAAGTCAATGGAAAGGCCCTAAATTTCCAATCCTGCAAATTGAAGCTCCCTGAGTGGACCTTTACACAGGTACAGAGTTTGTGTACTTTAGTGGAACTCTGCACAGTAAAGGTGGATCAAGCGGATCATTTTGCACATTTGAGACCTAGCATAGTATGATTTGGAGTGGGAGGGGGCTGCTGCGTCACTGTAGTGCTTAGTGAAGACTCTACCTATGCCAATGGGAGAGCTTCTTCCATCAGCGTAGGTACTCCAACTCTATGGGAGGTGGTAGCTATGTCAACAGGAGAAGCCACTGGCAGTTAGGTCAGTATACATCACTCAGAGGTGTGGATGGTTATACCAACATAAATTTGTAGTGTAGGCTAATCTGCAAATCCTTTTCTTGATTAAAATGCTGGATTATTCTGTTATTTATCTCATATTCCCCTGACTTGATCCATGCTCACAGAGTAGTTTTTTGCAATTTGATGCATTGAAATGTGTTTGTCATCTGCTGGCTCAATCATGAAACAATTCTGATCCCTTTGAATCTGGCTGTAAAGCTCCTCATTATTTACTTTACCTCTAGTCTTTTTGTGACACCTGCAGAATTGGGGAGCTCCTATTTAGTATCATTACCCATATCATTTTATATGTTAACAACAATAAATATGCTAAAACTGACTCCTGGGCTGGATGGGGTTAAATTTTAAAAAGCACTAAGGCCCAACCTCTGTTTCGTAGGTGCAATTGACACCTGTACAATTTATGTTCAATCTTGTGCTCCAAAATCAATTGCAGGTGAGAAATCAGAGAATTTGTGCCCCTAACTACCTGACTTGAACCACAATTCAAATGCCTGTGCAATTTTTGCAGGTACAAATTACAACCACAAAAGTGGAGGGTAGGCTTCAACTCATTTGGAAATGTACCTCCATCACCTCTTTCCAGTGTTAAAACTATTCACCTATGGTTACTCTTTAACTCTCTTAAGCCTTTCGATCTCCCCATTTTACTTCTTATTCTATGACTCTTTACCTCAGTCACATCTGATCCTTGCTGAATCACTCACTTTTCTAGCTGAAGCCATTATGGATCAATACCATCAGTTAGAGAAATGCCTTTGAAAAAGTAGTGTCTTGATGCATTTCATTTGTCTAGCCATTGTTACGTCATATAGGCTATGGCTACACTACAGCTTATGTCAACAAAACTTATGTTGCTCAGGGGTGTGTATTAGCCACCCCCTTGAGAGGCATAACTGACTTAAGCGCTGGTGTGGACAGTGCTATGTTGGCGGAAGAGCTTCTCTGCTTGCAGGGACTAGGGTGATTAAGCTGATGGGAGCACTCTCTCCTGTTGGCTTAGAGTGGCTACACTGGAGAGCTTATAGCAGAGTAGCTGCATAGGAGCAGCTGTACTGCTGTAAACTCTCCATTTTAGCCATAGCTGTAGGGTGGGGTTTAATTGTGATCTAAAGTTTGGGGTTGCATGTAGTTGTGGATCTTGTAAAACTTTATACACCTCTGCTCGTTTCACAAGAAAAACAGGCATATGAATGTGTATATTTGTGATCAGAAAGTTAACGTGAGTCACATGCATCATGAGCCCCTTAAGAATGGACTCAGCACACATTAAAAGAGAGCTTTCACAGCCTATTCCCCCAAACTAACATTCTTCATTCAAAATGTAATGTTACCATATTGTGTATTTAAAAATATAGCATGCAAATGTTGTATCCTTCCTAAACAAACGATAAAATTAATGAAAAATCAGTTATTACTTTGATGTTTTGCGTCTTATTAAAAATGTGGTTGTAATCTGAAAAAGACACTGTAAAAAGGGCACCTTCTTATTTAGTTTATCTGCTTCATGTGTGTATCTGGATCATATCAGCTTCTGTTCAGCCTAATCCTTCACTTTCCTAATACATCGGGGCTTACTACTGTACAACATGCAAGAAAATTCTTACACACTGTAGTAAGCCCCAATTCTAGTCTGTAACCTGGACAGAAAAGAAAAACCACTTATGCAAATATACGTTATGGCTATTGAAGGGCTAGGGAAGTATTGCTCAAGCAGGGTACTCATTTGATATAATGACCTATCTCATTTTATTAGTACTTGTTTGGCATAAGTACTTCACTCATTTAGGTCTTTGCAGTTGTGAATAACAGAGCCACCTCAAACTCATGTAGGTATAACCTTTGTACCTCACCATACCATTCTATAGTCTCTCTCTTTCTTATAACTATATCTACTGTATACTTTCTACATGCGTCTAGCTAAATTTACTATTGGTGGTGATACAAGAGTCAGCAAAAACATAAGTGATAAGCCTGCTCTCACTGAAGAGCTTTAACCTCATAGGGAACAAGATTGGAACCCAAGCTTCATTTCCAAATCCCAGGATAAGCAGGCAGTACTGACAGTATATTGAACAAATCTGACATGGTATCAAGAGGATCTGCTAGGACCAGAATAGAAATGGAATGCTATGATGTCAGAGTCATTTTTTCCTCATCACAACTGCTCTTAATGTGGCAATGCAAAGGTTTGAAACAACATTAAGTTTTCATTAAAGAATAAAAGTGAAAAAAGTAAAATGTATAGACAGACAAAAGTCAAAAATGTGTCAGTGAATAGTTGCCAAATTATTTTATTTATATTAGGTCTGTAGATGAAATTAAACTCATGAAAAGGGATACTGTATCAGAAGTTATTAGTTAAACTCCAGCTACCAAGGGAGGTTGTTGCAAGGAGCATCTATTAAAAGTCAAAATAATTACACGTTGATTTTTTATGGTCAGCTTTCAGCATTTTGTATCAAATATAAAACAACAGCTTCCTTTTCACAGGTCATCCGTTTCTGGAACAGTGTTGGAATCCGAAGGCTGGATGAACACTATGGGAATATTCTCAGACGTCCATCCCTTAGGAGTCCTGTTGAAGGACCTCCTGGTAGAAAGAGGGTTAGCGAGGATCATGAACCTGGGATCATTTAGCAGCAGTAGATTAAAATCTGGTACCTTGAATTTAACCAGCTTTGATGCTCTCTCAAAACCACCAAATGGAGTGGCAACTCTGTAAAGATGGTGGGAGGGAAAAATAAAAGTGAAATGTGATTTTAACAATACCCATTTTTCTTTTGCCCCAAGAGCTGAAAAAGAATAATCTGTTTTTTGTTTTGATTTGGTTTGATTTGTTATGACATTTTTTCAGTACAGTAATATGATTCCTAGCTTTCTGAGATCTCTTGAAAAACTTTTGGAAAAGCCATATGTTGATTATTTTTCTGGCAAATTCTCTTCAATGCCCCTCTTTTTTGTTCCCTTTTACATACATGTTTTTATTCTCGGCCTTTCTCATAGTCATAGTTACAACCAATTGTTCAATCATTTTTCCATCCAAATATTGGGTAACAAAGTGAGTGCCTGATGATTGCTGATTTAGTCACTGAAGGTATTTTGTGAATGATAGAATCATAGAATATCAGGGTTGGAAGGGACCTCAGGAGGTCATCTAGTCCAACCCCCTGCTCAAAGCAGGACCAATCCCCAATTAAATCATCCCAGCCAGGGCTTTGTCAAGTCTGACCGTAACAACTTCTAAGGAAGGAGATTCTACCACCTCCCTAGGTAACGCATTCCAGTGTTTCACCACCCTCCTAGTGAAAAAGTTTTTCCTAATATCCAACCTAAACCTCCCCCACTGCAACTTGAGACCATTACTCCTTGTCCTGTCCTCTTCTACCACTGAGAATAGTCTAGAACCATCCTCTCTGGAACCACCTCTCAGGTAGTTGAAAGCAGCTATCAAATCCCCCCTCATTCTTCTCTTCTGCAGACTAAACAATCCCAGTTCCCTCAGCCTCTCCTCATAAGTCATGTGTTCCAGACCCCTAATCATTTTTGTTGCCCTTCGCTGGACTCTCTCCAATTTATCCACATCCTTCTTGTAGTGTGGGGCCCAAAACTGGACACAGTACTCCAGATGAGGCCTCACCAATGTCGAATAGAGAGGAACGATCACGTCCCTCGATCTGCTCGCTATGCCCCTACTTATACATCCCAAAATGCCATTGGCCTTCTTGGCAACAAGGGCACACTGCTGACTCATATCCAGCTTCTCGTCCACTGTCACCCCTAGGTCCTTTTCTGCAGAACTGCTGCCTAGCCATTCAGTCCCTAGTCTGTAGCGGTGCATTGGGTTCTTCCGTCCTAAGTGCAGGACCCTGCACTTATCCTTATTGAACCTCATCAGATTTCTTTTGGCCCAATCCTCCAATTTGTCTAGGTCCCTCTGTATCCTATCCCTGCCCTCCAGCATATCTACCACTCCTCCTAGTTTAGTATCATCCGCAAATTTGCTGAGAGTGCAATCCACACCATCCTCCAGATCATTTATGAAGATTTTGAATAAAACCGGCCCCAGGACCGACCCCTGGAGCACTCCACTTGACACTGGCTGCCAGCTAGACATGGAGCCATTGATCACTACCCGTTGAGCCCGACAATCTAGCCAACTTTCTACCCACCTTATAGTGCATTCATCCATCCCATACTTCTTTAACTTGCTGACAAGAATACTGTGGGAGACCGTGTCAAAAGCTTTGCTAAAGTCAAGAAACAATACATCCACTGCTTTCCCTTCATCCACAGAACCAGTAATCTCATCCTAGAAGGCAATTAGATTAGTCAGGCATGACCTTCCCTTGGTGAATCCATGCTGACTGTTCCTGATCACTTTCCTCTCATGTAAGTGCTTCAGGATTGATTCTTTGAGGACCTGCTCCATGATTTTTCCGGGGACTGAGGTGAGGCTGACTGGCCTGTAGTTCCCAGGATCCTCCTTCTTCCCTTTTTTAAAGATTGGCACTACATTAGCCTTTTTCCAGTCATCTGGGACTTCCCCCGTTCGCCACGAGTTTTCAAAGATAATGGCCAATGGCTCTGGTATATGCTCCAGCCTCTTCCCCTCCTATTTTGAGAGTCAGAACATATTGTCTTCTAGACATATTAAGGACCAGGTTCTACTGTCTTGTGCACTACAGACCTCAAGAAGGTGAATTAAAGAAGTAAGGGCCTGATTCTGATCTAACACCGCTATAATTCAGAGGTAATGAAGTTGAAGTCAGTGGATTGACAATGTACGACCATATCTGCTCACAAGTGTTGTTGTATTGATTTAACTAAATTGGTTTAGAAACTGGCTTAGTTAAATTGGTGAAAAACAATGTTGTAATTGAAACCTACTCTCTGAAGAAGACTTTATGCCTCAAGGGCCCCGCCTGGGGTTTTTTTTTTGGTAGAGGCTTGCAGAAACCCAGGCCGAATCTAGCCCATTATCTGCTGCCAGTATTTTTAATATTATTTAAAGGTACCGGTAAATGTTCCTGAGGTGATTAGCTTAACAAATCAAAAGATAAGAAACACTTAGCAAGCATATACAGTTAAATGAATTTGCAAATATTTTAAAACAATATTTCCACATACAATTTGTGATTTCTTTTGTACTTGCAGACTCCTGGGCTGAGAGTTTTCTCTTAGCTGTTCCAGAACCCCATGTGTAAACAAACCTGACCAAACAGAAATAAATTGTACCAAATGTGGCCATACCTGTTGGTCAATCAAATAGTTTTCCTCGGATATATCTAGATTATGGCTAGTAAAGAAGCAATTTGTTAACTGGACCTTGATTCTTGGTTGCCAGAAAACCATATAAGTAGTGGCACAGCCAAGTGAATTCCAGCTGAAAACGGAGACCTTTCAGTTGGCCCACTTGGTTTTCTGGGTTTGATACAGAGTAATAGATCCATTGGTCTAGAGTTCCTGGGGCTACTGGTCCTCCAGTGCAGACCAAAACAAATAATTGAACACCAGCAGGAACCAAAAGAGAACAATTGAAGATTTTACTGGAATGTTAGCAGGCTATACATGGTAAAACAATACCCACTGCCAGATGAGCAAACTCCAAGATTCAACAAAAAAAATCATAGGGAAGTATCTACTATAGACCAGACTGCTTTATGTGGTGCATAGAGATTGCTCACTAAAATTTTGCAGTTCGGTACATAGAATCCTAGAACTGGAAGGGACCTTGAGAAGTCATCTAGTCCAGTCCCCTGCACTCGTGGCAGGACTTAGTATTATCTAGACCAGTCCTGACAGGTGTTTGTCTAACCTGCTCTTAAAAATCTCCAATGATGGAGATTCCACAACCTCCCTAGGCAATTTATTCCAATGCTTAACCACCCTGACAGTTAGGAAATTTTTCCTAATGTCCAACCTAAACCTCCCTTGCTGCAATTTAAGCCCATTCCATATCCTCAGAGGTTAAGAAGAACAATTTTTCTCCCTCCTCCTTGTATCAACCTTTTATGTACTTGAAAACTGTTATGTCCCCTCAGTCTTCTCTTTTCCAGACTAAACAAACCCGGTTTTTTCAATCTTTCCTCAGAGGTCATGTTTTCTAGACCTTTAATCATTTTTGTTGCTCTTCTCTGGACTTTTTCCAATTTGTCCGCATCCTTCCTGAAATATGACACCCAGAATGGGACACAATACTCCAGTTGAGGTCTAATCAGCGTGGAGTAGAGCGGAAGAATTACTTTTCATGTTCTTGCTTACAACACTCCTGCTAATAAATCCCGGAAGGATGTTCACTTTTTTTGCAACAGCATTACATTGTTGACTCATATTTAGCTTGTGGTCCACTTTGACCCCTAGATCCCTTTCCACAGTACTCCTTCCTAGGCAGTCATTTCCCCATTTTATATGTGTGCAACTGATTGTTCCTTCCTAAATGGAGTACTTTGCATTTGTCCTTTTTTACTTCAGACCATTTCTCCAGTTTGTCCAGATCATTTTGAATTTTAATCTTATCCTCCAAAGCACCTGCAACCCCTCCCCGCTTGGTATCATCCGCAAACTTTATAATTGTACTCTGTGGGCCATTATCTAAATCATTGATAAAGATATTGAACAGAACTAGACTGAGAACTGATCCCTGCAGGACCTCACTCATTATGCCCTTCCAGCATGACTGTGAACCACTGATAACTAGTCTCTGGAAATGGTTTTCCAACCGGTTTTTGCACCCATCTTATAGTAGCTCCATCTACATTGCATTTCTCCAGTTTGTTTATGAGAAGGTCATGCAAGACCGTATCAAAAGCTTTACTAAAATCAAGATATACCATGTCTACCACTTTCCCCCCCATCCACAAAGCCTGTTACCCTGTCAAAGAAAGCTATCGGGTTGGTTTGACATGATTTGTTTTTGACAAATCCATGCTAACTGTTATTTATCACCTTATTATCTTCTAGATGTTTGCAAATTGATTGCTTAATTATTTGCTCCATTATCTTTCTGGGTACAGAAGTTAAGCTGACTGGTCTGTAATTCCCTGGGTTGTCCTTATTCCCCTTTTTATAGATTGGCACTATATTTGCCCTTTTCTAGTCTTCTGGAATCTCTCCCGTCTTCCATGACTTTACAAAGATAATCGATAATGACTTTGATATCTCCTCAGTCAGCTCCTTGAGTATTCTGGGATGCATTTAATCAGGCCCTGGTGACTTGAAGACATCTAATTTGTCCAAGTAATTTTTAACTTGTTTTTTTCCTATTTTAGCCTTTTCTGATTCTACCTCATTTTCACATCATCCCAAGAAGAGCCAACTCTGGTTCCAAAAATTGATCCTGGCAAGGTGGTAAGTGCCTCATGAAAGGTTCTGATCACCCACACTCCGTGGGAATGGAAGGTGGTTTTTGGATCAGGCTCCAAAGCTACATCTTCTGACACATAAAGGACCAGATTTTGTAGCAGCAGCTGCTTAACGTACCAGATTCTCTTTGAAATCAAAGGGAGTTCTTCACACACACACAGTGACTGTCTAAGTGAGCCTGGAAATTTTCTTCCAGGTTACACATGACAAATTCTATACTGTACCTTACTGATTAAAAATAATTACTTTATAATCAGCACAGAGTGAGTGCAGTGACCTACATGTTATTGGAAAATAATGATCATTTTAATTGCTGCTCTAATTAAGATGTCTATTCTCGTGGTAGTGTTCATG